CAGTGGTTAGCACTGCTGCCTCACAGCACCAAGGACCCAGGTTTGATTCCAGCCATGTAAGTTTAAGGTAAAAGGGGGAAAGTTTAAAGGTGATGTGTGAGTTTGTGCATTCTCCCTGTGTCTGTGTTAGTTTCCTCCGGGTTCTTCCTCCCAGTCCAAAGATGTGCAGGTTGAGTGGATTAGTTCTGTTAAATTAACTGTATTGTCTAGGATGGGAAATACACAGATGGGGTGGTGGTGGGTCTGGGTGGGATGCTTTTCAGAGGGTCAGTGTGGATTTGATGGGCTGTGTGGCCTGCTTCCACACTGTAGGGATTCTATGGTATGATGATATGATTTCCTACCAAAATGTATCACCTCACATTTATCTAAAATAAACTCCACCTGCCACTCCTTGGCCCATTGGCCCATTGGCCCATCGATCAAGGTCCCGTTGTTCTCTGAGATAATTTTCTTCGCTGTCCACTATACCACCAACTTTGGTGTCATCTGCAAAGTTACTAACCATCCCTCCAAATTATTTATATAAATTATGAAAAGCAGTGGACCCAGCACTGATCCTTGTAGCATACCGCTGGTCACAGGCCTCCAGTCTGAAAAACATCCCTTCACTACCACCCTCTAGCTTGAAGGTAAGACACAATCTTGTATCCAATTGGCTAGATCTCCTGGATCCCATGTAATTTAACCTTGCTAACCAGTCTACCATGTGGAACCTTGTCAAACGCTGTGCTGAAGTCCATACAGACAATGTCCACCTCTCTGCCTTCATCAATCTTCTTTGTCACCTCTTCAAAAAACTCAATCAAGTTAGTGAGACACGATTTCTCATGCACAAGAGATAGTGAGGAGGATTGCCAGAGGTTACAGTGGGATATAGATAGGCTGTAGACTTGGGCAGAGAAATAGCAGATGGAGTATAATCCAGACAAAAACGAGGTGATGCATTTTGGAAGGTGTAATACAGGAGGGAAGTATACAGTAAATAGCAAAACCCTTAGTAGAGAGGGATCTAGGAGTACAGACTCACAGTTTCCTGAAGGTGGTCAAGAAGGGATATGGCAGGCTTGCCTTCATTTGTTGGGGCACAAAGTATAAAAATTGCAGCAGTTTGGTACTTTGGTTAGCCCACATTTGGAATATTGTGTACAGTTCTGGTCCCCACACAACCAGAAAGAAATGGAGGCTTTGGAGACAGTACAGAAATAGTTTACCAGGATGTTGCCTGGTTGGAAGGGTAGGGGTAACAAGAACTGCAGATACTGGAGTCAGAGTCGATACAGTGTGGAGCTGGAGGAACACAACAGGTCAGGCAGCATCAGAGGGGCAGGAGAGTCGATGATTCGGGCCCAGACCCTTCATCAGGACTGGCCCGAAACGTCAGCTTTCCTGCTGCTCTGATGCTGCCTGGCCTGCTGTGTTCATCCAGCTCCACACTGTGTTGCCTGGTTTGGAGGGTATTAGCTATGAGGAAAGATTGGACAAACTTGGTCTGTTGTGACTTGAATGTTGAAGGATGAAGGGCGACCTGACAGAAGTTTACAAAGTTATGAGAGGCATGGAGAGAATTGATAGAGTCTTTTTCCCAGCATAGAAATGTCAATTATTGGGCATATAAGTTTAAGGTAAAAGAGGGGAGTTTAAAGGAAATGTGAGAGGCTGGGTTTTTACACAGAGGGTGGTACGTGCCTGGAATGCGCTGCCAGAGGAGGTGATGGAGGCAGATATAGTAGCAACATGTAAGAGGCATCTTGACAGATACAGGAATAGGCTGGGAATAGAGGGATACAGACTGTGTAGATGCAAAAGGTTTTTAGTTTAGGAAGGTGTTTGTATCAGCGTGGGCTTGGTGGGCCAAGGGGCCTGTTCCTGTGCTGTACTGTTCTTCTTCTCTCAAACTCTCCGGTGGTTGGAGTCATACCTGACACATAGGAAGGTGGTTGTAGTTGTTTGGGGTCAGTCATCTCTGCAGGAGTTCCTCAGGGCAGTGTCCTTGGCCCAACCATCTTCAGCTGCTTCATCAATGACCTTCCCTCCATCATAAGGTCAGAAGTGGGGATGTTCACTGACGATTGCACAATGTTCAGCACCATTCGTGACTCCTCAGATACTGAAGCAGTCCATGTTCAAATGCAACAAGATCTGGACAATGTCCAGGCTTGGGCTGACAAGTGGAAAGTGACATTCACGCCACACAAATGCCAGGCTATGACCATCACCAATAAGAGACAATCTAACCACCGCCCCATGACGAATCTTGGGATGTTTGTTCACAGAGCCCTGAATGCAGCACCAGCACAGGTTAGTAGGTTAGTTAAGGAGGCATACAGGTCACTTGTCTTTATCGGTCATGGCACAGATTATAAGAGCAGGGAGGTTATGCTGGAGCTGTACAGGATTTTGATTAGGCCACAGCTAGAGCCTAACCACATCCACAAGCATCCATTCCCTCCACCACCGACGCTCAGTGTGTACTATCTACAAGATGCTCTGCAGAAATTCACCAAAGATCCTCAGACAGCACCTTCCAAACCCATGACCACTTCCATCCAGAAGGACAAGGGCATCAGATACATGGGAACGCCACCCCCTGCAAGTTCCCCTCCAAGTTCCCCTCCAAGCCACTCACCATCCTGACTTGGAAATATATCGCTGTTCCTTCACTGTCACTGGGTCAAAATCCTGGAATTCCCTCCCTCAAGGCTTTGTGGGTCAACCCACAGCACATAGACTGCAGGGGTTCAAGAAGGCAGCTCACCACCACCTTCTCGAGGGGCAACTAGGGACGGGCAAGAAATGCTGGTCCCAGGCTGTGACACCCACGTCCCACTCCGAAATACACAGGCTCATCACAGATGCACACACAGCTCTTACACAGATATACACGCAGTTATACTGTACCCA